CACCTTCGACTCGCCTGATGAACCCAGAATAGGACAATGTGTCATGGCTTGGACTGTACAGCCTGGCGTTTCTTAATCACCTGAAACTCAATGACATACAAGTTCACCTTTCCGACATACAACGTTAACCTGTGGTCTGCGGACCCAAGGTATGGTCACTCAGTGATGTTATTGACGGACTAATCAGTATTAGGCTGAATTATATCTAGAATTCTTCCTCTACAAACCACTTTTGTTGCATTTCAATATTGAGGTTATGTATGTTTTTATGTGTGCCTACTTGTTTGACAGTTATGGTGCTGTTCAACCACCTTATTTTTGTCTCCACCTTGGTGTTAAGAGATTTTAATATAGCTTATCACAGGAACTGGGAGCCTTCCTGAGCTGAAGTATTGAAAAAATGTGCTTCTGGAAGTTTAAAAAAAAAAGTGTTTAGCCTGCAGCTTGCCTCAGAGAGAGCGACAAGTATAGGCTTAGTTCTAGTTTTCTTTCTGTTTTTGGGAAGGGTTAGGGAAAGGGACACCACCGTATTTTTGCAACATATACTCACCTTTGCTCACTTAAGAGATTAAATTAACCTAACTGCACTGTAACACGATAATTGTTTTACCTTCTTTATTACTTTTTTCTCCCTTCTCGTCGTATTTTCTTTAGTTAAGCATGGTGAATGATAATGATGCAGAGATGGCTGCTATATGTTTCATTACTTGGAACGTGAAGGGTTTAAATGGGCCGGTTAAAAGAGCCAGGATATTTAATCATCTAAAGTACTCAAAATGTGATATCGCATTTTTCAAGGAAACCCGCCTATTGGTAAAAGATCAGGTTAAACTTAAGAATAGATGGGTGGGTAATGTATTCCATTCCAATCTTTATTCTAAAACTTGTGGAACAGCCATATTGATCCATAAGAAAATTCTGTTTAATGAAACTACTGTTATCTCCAATGCCCAGCATGCATCAGGGTTCAGGTGCATGTGTGGTAGCCCCGCCAGAGTTCTGGTAGTGTATGAAGAATAGTGCTGTGTCATGGAGCTATGCCGGAGCTATGGAATGAAATCGCCAAATCAGTTAACGTGTTTCCTCTACTTATTATAAAATAAGGAGAGCAACACATAAGGTATCTCTTTATGTGGATGATCTGTTGATGTATGTATCTGACCCTGTTTTATGTGAGGTTTGGTGCCCTCTCTGGGTACAAACTGCACTTTAGTGAAAGTGAATGCCATCCTGTTAATGACTTGGCTCTCCAAAAATAGGACGGTGCTCGACATATGTCTAAAAATGGCTTTAGACACTTGGGCATTAACATTACAAGGGACATGCAGAATATGTACCAATAAAACTTCTATCTGTTATCTTAAAAAGCTCAATTAGAACTGCAGAAATGGAAACTACTTCACCTATCCCTAGCAAGGAAAGTGAACTGTATCAAAATGAATGTGCTCCCTAGGTTTCTTTACCAGTTTCAATGTATCCCACTTTATCTCTCTAAGTCCTTTTTTAAGTGTATTGATAAGGCTCTAATTTAATTTATATGGAACAGGAAGAAGCCTAGAATACGGTTAGAACT